GCTGGGCACTGCCCAGGCTCCCCAGGGAATGGTCCCGGCCCCAAGGCTGCCAGAGCTCCAGGAGCGTTTGGACAGCGCTCTCAGGGATGCTCAGGGTGGGATTGTTGGGGGGTCTGTGCAGGGACAGGGGCTGCACTCATCATCCCTCAGGGTCTCTTCCAGCTCAGAATATTCTGGGTTTCTGTAAAAAGTCTCTCCATCCTGCTCAGATGAGAAAAATGGCTGCTGTTTGTTTCTTGATGTGTGGGGCCAAAGCCAGGGGATCTTTGGTTTTACCCTTGGGTTTTACTCCATCCACATCGCTGCCAGGCCCCGCAGTGCAGATCCTCCAGAAAAGAAGCAGGGATGGAGTCACACTGCACCAGAGATGCTGTGGATGCTCCAGAGAGCCCCGTGGAGGGAGGTGCTGCTGCTGCTTTGTGGTTTCTTGTGTGAGAGGATGTGTTTTCCTCCATCTCCAGTGCAGGGAACTCATCACAAGTGCTTCCCTGGACTTTCTGCTGAAGTAGCAGCAGCCTCAGCACCTGCTGCCCACATTGCTGGTTCCTGGGGGCCGTGTCTCAGTTCCGGGGTGGGCGCAGTCCCTGAAGCTTCCGGCTCTGCCACAGGATGTGGCCAGGCTGTGACACAGCTCCTGGTAACCAGCACTGCTCAGCTGTCTCTCCACACCCTTCACTTCTTCCTCTGTCACGTCTGGGGCAGGATCACACCCCAAAGGACACGTCTGCCGGGGGTTTGTGCTGGGTTTGAGCCCTGAGGTGGCTCACGGGGTCACAGCAGCTGTTTTGGCAGCAGGAAGGCCAGGCTGGATGGGGCTTGCAGCAGCCTGGTCTACTGGAAGGTGCACACCAAAGGTGTCCCTGCCCATGGCAGGGAGTTTCAACTGGATGGTCTTTAAAATCCCTTCCAATTCAAACCCAAACCATTCCATGATGACATGTCTGCTCTAGATTCACCTCTCAGCCCGTGGTGGATCTCACTGAACCACATTAAAATGCTTTTAGGGTTTCTCCCAACACATCGTAGCCCATGTTGGGGTTTGGATCTCTCAGCTCCTGCATGGAAGAGGTTACTGAGGCCATTCCCGCAGGAAATGTTGAGCCTGTTCTTAGTGGGGTGAACTGGAGTGGTTTGGGGTTTCTTCCTCACTGTAATTAAATAAGGAAACAAGAGGCCTTGGCTTTAAAGCTTTTTAATCTTTCTCCAGAGAAGAACTGCTGATTAGCACTGCAGCATCTGTCAGAGACGGGCTCGATTGCAGCCGTGGTAGTCATGACCTTGAGTTTGGGATGTGTTTGCCAGCATTGAGGACACTATTTACCTATTGGAGCAATGCTGTGGCCTCATGTAAATCTCAGTAGATTCTGCTTGGGGAAAGGTTTTCTTTTTTTGCTTGCTTGCTTATGAAATTATAGGAACTTATTTATGCTATTTAAGGCATCAGCTTAATTTCTATTACTTTATTCATTTCTCTGTCCAGCACATGTAAAATAATATTTTTGGTACACAAAGCTTTCTGCCTTAAGCTTTCATCAAAGAGCAGCCTGTCACAAATTCTGTGAGGGGCTGGATGTGGGAACAAAGGAGGTATAATTAGCTACAGATAAACAGAGCTGTGTTTCTCGTCAGCATCCCTTCAGATCTCAACTTGTGTCTCACCCTTGGAGCTGATTCTTTTCTACAGTCTGGGAGAGGAAGATGAGCTTTCCCTAATCTTCCAGTTTTCAACTTGTAAACGGAGCTAAACTGAGATGGGAAATATGTTTATGGTCTGTGTGCACCTGCAGAAGAGGCTGTGGCTGCTCTCAGGGCTGGTGTTATTTCAGGATATTTGCTTTCCGGGTGCCTGAGCTGTGACTTCTTCTTCTCGTTGCCCTCCACCCCTTGGTTCCTGTCTCTCACTTTCAGTGGCTGCCTTGGTGGGGGCTGTCTGGCAGCAGCTCTGAGCTGTGTTGTGGGCTGGCGTGACCTGGCCTGGCCTTGTTCCCAAAATGGGGAGGCAGAGGTGAAAATGGGATCTGGGTGAAACCCAGCTGGTTTTACCCCTCTTTGGCAGTGCGTGTGAGCCAAGCAGGTGGTGGCATTTCTGCAGGCTTGGGGCAGTGTCAGGGTGAGTGGCAGCCCCCTCCCATGGCTGTGGGGCCTGTTCCCTCATTCCCACATGGACCAGGTCAGGAGGTGACTCTGTTCAGCCCAGGTCACCCCTGCAGCCGGGGAGGGGAAGGGGGAGGAAGGAAAGCTGCCGTGGGCTCCCCCCCTTCTCAGATGTGGGGCGGGGGCCCAGATGGCATCCCAGATCTCTTCCTATGGGATTTAGATGAGGTTTCCTGTTGAGAGAGCTGCTCCTAATCGCTGCCCTTCTGTGCTGTGTTGCAGATCAGGACCAGATGAGCAGAGGGAGGTTTCTGTGAAGATCAGAGTCGCCCCAGCCCTGCCCTGGGAAGTGGCCGCGCCTCCGGCTGTCACCGCTGCGGGCCTGGAAGAGACAGGGGAGGAGGAAAATGTCCCACGCTTTAAAGCAAGTGTTCAATAAAGACAAAACCTTCCGGCCCAAGCGCAAGTTCGAGCCGGGCACTCAGCGCTTTGAGCTGCACAAGAAGGCCCAGGCCTCGCTCAACGCCGGCCTGGACTTGAAGGTGGCCGTGCAGCTGCCACCAGGGGAGGAGCAGAACGACTGGGTGGCCGTGCACGTGGTGGACTTCTTCAACCGCATCAACCTCATCTACGGCACCATCAGTGACTATTGCACCGAGCAGTCCTGCCCCGTCATGTCGGGGGGGCCCAAGTACGAGTACCGGTGGCAGGACGAGCACAAGTACCGCAAACCCACGGCCCTGTCTGCGCCCCAGTACATGAACCTGCTCATGGACTGGATCGAGGTGCAGATCAACAACGAGGACATCTTCCCCACCAACGTCGGTGAGTTTGGGTCCCAGCTGGGGCTGGGGGCAGGGAGGTGGGTGTGGAGCTCCTGTTGCTGTTCCAGGAGATGGTGCAGCACAGCTGACCCCTGTAGCAGAGCTGTTTCCCTCTGTGCTTCTCAGGTGGGCACTGCAGTGAGCTCTTGGCAGCTCTTCTGCAGAGCTGAAATACCCAGAGCTGTACCAGATTCCACTGGGAGTCATGGATACCTCGAGGCAGTGAAACAGGAGGCTGCCCTTAGAGCAGTCGGGCTCTGAGGTGGCTCTGCAGTGGTTCATGCTGGGTGCAGCATGGCTCTCTGGGAGCTGATGGCCAGCCCAGATCTGGGGCAGAGCTCTGTGTCACCTGGTGATGGTGCCACGTGCCATAATCACCCCCTCTGTTATTAGAGGCCACATTGGCTGCCTCTGCCTCTCCTGAGGGGTGGGATGCTGGCACAGACCTGCAGGGAAGGGCTTTGTTTCATCTACTGCCAGGACCATGGAAAAAGGAGGTTGGCCTAAGACACCTCAATCTCCATATCCAAACACAGCTTTGGGACGGAGATTGTTGGGTTTTATTTTGTGATGAAGATGGAAGAATTTAGTCTCTAAGTTATCAGGTAAATACAACTGAGCCTATGCAGAGCTTTCATCTCCTGGGATGGAGGAGATGTGGTGCAGCAGGAGCTCCCTCTGTCCCTCCTGCTCTGGTGTTTATCCCTTTGGAGCTCTGATGGGATGCAGTTGGTCTCTATTTGGGGCACATCTGCCACTTGAGCATCCACAAGGATTCTCCGCTGAGCCAAAATTCTGCTTAAACCTGGTATGGAGCAGGCAGAGAGGGAAGGGGAGCCATAAACAGCCAGTTTTGAGACAGCTGAAGCACCAAACCCTCCCCAGCCCTTCACACGCTGCACAGGCTCTGCTGCAGCTCTCTGGGGACCACACTGGGGATGTTGGTTCTGTTCTGGGTTGCAGCACGAGCTTCCGACAGCACGACGGTTGTGGTTTGGGTTTTTTTTTTAGTTATTGTCTTCAGCTCAGCTTTTACCAGATCCTTTAACACTGACTGAAATGCTGCAGCTCTGGCAGAGCAAGGAAAGGGTTTAACTCGTCCTTGTTCCTCCAGAAACAGTGTGAACTTTACACCCTGATATCCCACGGAGGTGGCTGCATGGCCAGACTGCTCTGCTGCAGGGGCCCAGCCAAACACAGTCCTGGAGCCTTCAAAGAGGACCTTAACAGCTTTAATTTTTAACCAAAGAGCTAAAGATGTATCTAAACAAGGGATAACTGGGGAGTTAACAGCCCTTTCCTTTGGGAAGTTGCTTGGTTGTAGCTGGTGTTTTGCACTGTTTATATAAATACATCAAACAGGAGTAGAGGAAAACTCTTGTCTGACTGAAACAACTGCTGAGAATGTGGGCTCTGCTTTCAGTCACAGCAGTGCATCACTCTGTCACTTAAAAAATCTGTGCTTTGCAGAATGTGATTCAAAGGAAAGGAGAAAGGAGAGGGGAGCTGGAAAATACCAGAGACAGAAGCAGTTTTGCCTCAATCTGTCCATTTTACCAGTTTATTTTAGTCCTAAGCAGCCTGTTTGAACTTGACCTAAGGTTTTTCATGGCCACTCTTCCCTCCCAGGTACTCCTTTCCCCAAGAACTTCCTCCCGGTGGTGAAGAAGATTCTCTCCAGGCTGTTCCGGGTGTTTGTCCACGTCTACATCCACCACTTCGACAGGATCACCCAGATGGGCTCGGAGGCCCACGTGAACACCTGCTACAAGCACTTTTACTACTTTGTGAAAGAGTTCAATCTCATAGACACCAAGGAGCTGGAGCCCCTGGTGAGTGTCTGGGTGGGCTCAGCTGCAGGTGGGGCTCTCAGAGTCTGTGGCCAGCACAGGGCTGGGGGAGTCACAGAGGGCTCTGAACCTTCTCAGGTGACCCCGCTTCAAATCCTGGCGTCAGTTTTGGGCCTCTCACTCCAGCAAAGATATTGAGGGGCTGGAACATGTCCAGAGATGGGAACAGAGCTGGGAAAGGGACTGGAGCACCAGGAGGGGCTGAGGGAGCTGGGAAAGGGGCTCAGCCTGGAGAAAAGGAGGCTCAGGGGGGCCCTTGTGACTCTGCACAACTCCCTGACAGGAGAGGACAGCTGCAAGGGCTCAGTCTTGTCCCAGGTAACAAGTGACAGGACAGGAGGGAACAGTCTCAAGCTGTGCCAGTGGAGGTTTAGATTGGATTTAAGGGAAAATTTCTTCACTGAAGGGGTGGGACAGGCATTGGAAAGGTCTGCCCGGGGCAGTGTTGGGAGTCACCATCCCTGGAAGTGCTCAAAAAACATGTGGATGTGACACTTGGGGACATAGTTTAGTGGTGACACAGCAGTGGTGGGGTAATAGTTGGACTTGATGATCTTGGGAGTCCTTCCAACCCTTAAGGATTCCATGATTCTCTTCTAAAGCTGGCTGCCTAAATCCAGGACCAGTTGACCTTGCAGTGTAGCTGTCAGGAGCCTGAGAGTCAGGATGTGACTGGGATGTGCTGGGAATGGGAATGGTGGGGGAAACACGGCCCTGCCCAAACTGGAGCTGTGGGCAGCAGTGTCACCCCGTGCCTAGGAATGATCTTGACAGCTAAATATGGGGTTTTTTCATCCACACCCTCACCTGGGAACCTGGATCCACCTTCACAACCCCTTATCTTCTGTGTCCCTTTGACAGAAGGAAATGACCTCTCGGATGTGCCACTGAGCTCAGACCTTCCTGCTCCCACCTCGGCGCCTCTTCCGAGGACTCCGAGCCCCAATCCCGTATTGGAGACGTGATTCAAGGGGAGAACAGAGACGTTTCGTTTAAGAAATTATCTATTTTTAATGAGTTTCAATGTAAAACTGTGATACTGCAGGAATATTTTTTTAAAGATGCTCTAGATTAACTAATTTTTTATAGTAATTTCTATAAAAAAGAAAGAAAATATTTTGTGGGCCACTTGATGGGAATGTTGGCTCTCGGAGTGGGGAAGAGCTGCCTGAGCTTCCTCCTCTGTGTGCCCCGAGTGAGCTGAGCCAGACACTTCAGACAGAGCTGTGCTGTGGGGCTGGTGCTGCCATGGAAACAGGACCTTCCTTGGGATACACATTTCCCACCCCTGAAGGCAGGGTACAGGACTGGTGTGCATGCATCCCCCAGGTGTGGATCCCCCAGCACCTCTTCCACTGGCTGTGAGTCCCGGTTTGGGGCAGAGCTGCTCTGTGCCCACCTGTCCCCAAGGCCTGGCTCTCCTGCACTCCCTCTGAGTGAGCTGGGTCTGGGCTTCCCATGGCTGCTGCAGCTGGAGTGGAAATCTGCCCTGGTGTGTCAGCCCAGCCCTGAGCTGGGCTCTGCACACACAGCCTGGCTGTGGCTCAGCACTGTCCCTACAGGGACACAGATCCACGCTGGCAGCTCCTCATGGGAGCCACCAGAGGGAAGGTGCTGGGACAGGCACCAGGAATTCTCCTCCATCCCCTCCTTCCCTGTCCCTCGTGGTACGCTGACCCTGCCAGAGCCACATCCCACTTCCCATTGGGGTACGGAGCCTTCTCCCTGTTCCCCAGCATCACCACCCCACACAGCTGTGCACATCTGGGACCAAAATCTCTGGTGTGCAGCCAGATTCCCCCCGGCCTCGCCTGCTGCTTGCACGAGGAGAGCTTGGCAGTGCCCCCAGGTAGGTAGTTGGGTCTACCTAGGATTTGGGGACCAGTAAGTGACCAAACTGCACCACTAACCACTTCTTCCTTACAAAGCATTCCCGTGCCCTGGAATCTCTGTACATACGTGACTCTCATTTCTCATCCTGCCGTTAGGACACTCGTACAAATACCACTCGTGCTCTGAAATGGAACCAATAAATTATGTTGTATTTACACAGCACACGCCGCTGCACAGCGTCTCGTGACTGCACGTTCGTCAGACCTTCCCATCAGCAAAACAAACACTGGGTGTTTGGGCTCCTTGGGGATTGTGCTGGAGAGCTGGGAGCTCGTGGGTGTGTGCTCCTGGCACAGCTCCTGGGAGCTTGGTTGGGTTCCTTCTGCTCTCCGGGTGCCAGGTCCAGGCTGCTCCAAACCCTGCACTGGGTCCCAAGGCCGTGGGGCCTGACCAGCAGCATGGGGTTGTCCTGACTTGTGTCTGCAGTGTCTGTACCCAAGGGTTGAGCTGTTCTCCCAGCTCTGAAATGCAGGTGGAAGTGGGCAGGGAAGGGGAATTCCAGCTCACCAACTTGCCAAGAGGCTCCTCTGCCATGGGAAGGAGCCAGGGGTGTAGTTATTGAGGCTGGTGGACTAAATTGGGCAAAACTGCATTTGGGGGATGCACATTGTTTTCCTAGCCAGGAGGGGAGTGAGGGGCTCCCCAGCTGTAGCTCTTCCTGTTCCCTGCCTGCAGCACTGGCTGTTGTCTGTTCCTCTGCCCAGTGCAGGTGCTGGGACCACCTTCCAGCCCCTCTCCCAGTGTTTTGTGGGTGCAGCCCAGCTGGAGAACATACTGTTCTTGGTGTGGAGTATCTCTTTGGCCACCCTGGGTCAACTGTCCCAGCCCTGCTCCCGCCAGTTGTTGTGCCCCTCCTTGCTGGCAGAGCATGGGACACACAAAGTCCTTGGCGTAGGGTAAGCACTGCTCAGCAGCACCAAAACATCGGTGTTATCAGCATTATTCTCATCGCAGAGCCCAAGCACGGCCCTGTACCGGCTACTGGGGAGAGAACTGGCTCTGTCCCAGCTGAAACCAGGACACCTGAAGGCCCCAAGTGCTGGGCTGTGCTGGGGCTGCAGGTGGGTGCTGAGCTGTGCTGGGTCAGCCCTCGGAGCCAGGGCAGCTCCTGCCGCTGCTCCTCAGCTTCCCTTTTCACACCCACCTGGAATGCTGTGGGTGCTGAGTCCAGGGCTGTGTGGCACCCAACCAGCTGTGACCTACAGGGCTGCAGGGACCTGCCTTCCTCGGCCCCCCCTTTCTTTTTGAGGGAAAGACCCTCCCATGCGAGACCAGGCCAGGGGAGTAGGAGGAAAAGCATCTTTGTGGGAGAAGATGTGGCAGGGCTGGAGGTGGCTGAGCCCGGCCCCCACGCCCGGCAGTGCAGGATGTTGCCCAGACAGGTCTGTGGAGCCACAGCTCAGCCTTGCTCTGCCTCTGCCCCGGCAGCCCCAGCTCCACTTTCATCTCCCGGGGCTTTCATCTCGTGTTTGCTCGCTCCTGAGCTGCAGCTGCAGGGAGCTGTGAGCCCCTGGGGCTGAGCCCTCCAACTCAGCTGAGTTCGCAGTGCTGAGCACCACAGGCTGAGCTTCCAGGGCTGAGCCCAGCCTGGCCAGGGGGTTTAGCCTTACCCAGGAGCTCTTGGTACTTTCATTGCTCGTCTCCCCCGGCACTGGTTGGGTGCAGAGGCTGATATCACAAAGGCTGTGCTGAGAACCCAGAGAACAGCTTTGCAGATCTGCACTGCAGGGCCTGGGCCGAGCAGGTTCTGTGCCCAGGGCTCCAGCAGCCTCCCCTCTGCAGGGCTGATCCCTTCCCAAAAAGCACAGATGGCATCTGCCCCGGGGCTGGAGCGGGCACGGGCTGGCAGCACGGAGGGGGCTGTGGCTGCCGTATGTTCCGAGGGAAAGGCTCCTTCCCTGTGGTTCAGAGCAGCATCTCCTGCTGCTCCCAGGAAGCCGTGGCTCGCCCTGATCCTCCCCTATTGGGCTTCTCCATCCCCTAAACCCTGAGGAGCTCAGGAGCTTCAGGGCCTCGGTTCCATGAATCCGGATTTAGGATCCTAACAACAATATCAATTTGTCACAGATGAGTGATTTAGGGTCACCATCAATGCCATTTGCAAAAGTTATTTTAATATGAATCTATGAAAGTGTGATTTAACAGAGTACAATGATGAGGTTCCCTCTGGTACTTCCTACATGGATGGAAAAGACTAAAGAAATCAAATTAGAATTGAGTTGTAATGATTTACACTAAGACTGAAGATGTAAAAGGGTAAGAGACCTTTCTGTTAGGTACAAGGTTCAGACAAGACCCACCTGCTTTCTAAACTCCTGATGGACCTTAGGTACAGCCCAGGTCCTGTCCTAGTCTCAGATTTGGGCAATGGTTCACATATGAAGGAATTGAATACAGGGATTTCGTTGGTGTTAATTCAGGGTGTTGTCAGGAACTCACCAAGGAGCTGTTGCAAGTAAGGGTCTCTCCACCTTGGGTGGAGAAAGATCTCTCATTCTCATCCCAAATTTCAAGAAGTGTTCCACCTCCAGAGGAGATCACAGATGTGCAGCCCAGCCCAGCTGCAGATTAGGGGGAACTCAAACTGGATTTACCCAAAGATCTGTTGCTAGTGGAAAGGTCTCTGTTCCTTGGGGCACAGGCTCAGGAGGTGTCCTTGTTCCAGGACATCACAGCACAGTCACACTGCCAGGCAGGGAGAGCTCCTTGTACCCACAACTTTCATTGTTCTTTGATAAATAAGTTTTGGAAAAGCCACCTGCTCTCCATGTGTTAATCCCACGATCAGTTCTGAGCTCACAAGCATCGATGCTCCCTGGGTCACTCTGCTCCTTCATGGGTTTCCTGGACTTCTTGGCCAGGCTCTGGTCTTTTCGTCCTCTGGATCCCAGACCAGACCATCGCTGGTTTGGTGGAAGGGTCGAGCACATCCACACGAGCCCCATTAGGGTTTGCTTAAAGTTTGCTGGGAAGTGGGGGCAGCCTTTGCATGGACCTTGGAAAGCAGCCAAGGGGGAGCAGGGGCTGGGAGTCTCCTGTGGCTGCGTGTCTGTGGGGTCTGTGCCAGAGCCATGTCCTGCTGGGTGAGGACAGGGATGTTCCCACCTGCCACCTCCTCCCTGAGCAGCAGATCCTGCTCAGAGCATTGCTGGGGGCTGTGCTGTGACACAAGGATGTCCTTACGCTGCCCTACCCTGCCCCTCCGGCCCTGGGCACTGTCTCAGAGACAGTGGGGGACACTCCAGAGTCCTCATGAACTCCAGAGTCCTCATGTCCCCATCCCCAGGAGCTGCTGCCTCATTCCATGCACCTTTTGAGCTGGGGAAACAGGAGCACAGGTGGCACGGGATATGTCCCTGCACAGCTCTGCTGTCACTCTCAGCCCCCCCAGACCCTGGGAGTGCTTCTGTCCCTCATCCCTGCACAGGCAGTGGGCGTTTTCCAAGCTCTGAAATGTGCTTTTTGTTTGTTCTGTGTTCCCTGGACAGCTGATGCCTCTGGGGCCAGATTCCCCAGGGTCCCTGGCAGCCCCCCAGCCCTGACCCACACCTGCCTTCTCCCTGGGTTTGCTCTGTTCCTGTTTTGGGCTCCATGGAGGAGGTGACAGCCCCTGGCACAAGGGAACAGTCACCAGCATGGCACATGCTCCCTCTCCCTTGTATGGCACAGGCCAGGCCAGGGGCCAGCAGCTCCAGGAACATGGGCAGGGCCTGGAATGCTTCTGGGAAAATGCTGGAGCAGGGAGGACATGTCCCATGTCCGTGGGTGACACTGATACCGAGGGCACCTGCTGCTCCAGCCCCATGGGGACAGCAGCTCCCTCCTCACCCGCTGCTTTACCAGGAGAAGGGGCCCCAGGATCATTTTTGGTCCTGGTGAACAAATCCCTGCTAACCCCAGAGGCTGCTGGCACACAGCCACTGGCACCCATGTCCTTCAGCACGGGGTGTACAGGCCCTGCTGTGGTTTCAGTGCCCTTTCCACGGGACCAGAGGGAATTTTTTGGTGGTTTGGGAGTTTTTCTGCTCCTTCTAAGAAAATGTGCAACGTGCCAGCCTGTACCTCTTCCTGCCACATCCCTGCACACTTGGGGCTTCCCCAGAGTGACCCAGCTGCAGTTGGTCAGAGCTGCTGCTGCAGATTTCCCCCTTCCCAGGGAATTGGGAGGATGGAGGAGGGTGAAAAGAGCCTGGGGTGTTTGAAGTCCTCCTGGAAATGCTTTT